CATTCCTCGCTCCCGTATCTTCCATGCACCTTTGCTCCAAATGAATTTTGAGGGGAAATCCTGATAGAGGCTGTCGTGGGCTCCAGCTGCCACCAAGTTCTCATTGGCATTGGCTTTGAACCATCCAGTGAGGCAAGTATCTTTCACTTCTGCGCGCTCAAGGACTTCCTCAGCATCATCCTCGGGGTCATAGAACACCATCTGTTCATTTTTGAGATGGACCGGCAAATGGTAGACAGAGGGCCATTCGAGATGCATAGAAAATTTGAAGATGTGCCATGCAGCCTCGGTAGAGCTGATATATCTCGAGTCCAGATATGATTTGACCTCATCCACCGCTCCTCTCATCTCCAACGTAGCACGGTCATTTCCCTTATAAATGTATTTGTGGATGTATTTGACAGATTTGATAGAGGCGCAGACCTCGAGGTTGATGTGGCAGTTGAATTCCACCAGCAGTTCGGGGGGATGTGGAACAACATCCTTGTTGGTGAAGATGATGTCGTTCTTTTGGATGGTGCGACCATTGTCAGGTCTCGCATACTCGGGATAGCCATCATCCTTCATCAGGGTCTGGGGACAGAATGATTTTGGAAAGTGCTTTTTGCACCGCGAATTCTCTATGCAACGCTGCGGACTGCAAGGGCCATGCAGCATGTATTTTTCCACAACCTGATAGAGCTGAGGATGGATGTTCCTGTCAGGAATCTGAGCGGAGATGAAGGAGTCGATTTGCTCAGTGGTACGGATCTTATAATCTGGCTCCAGGAAGATGAGAAGGTGCATGTGTCACAACCCAATAACGAATTAACGCTGGGCGGAGACTAGGACTCAGACTAAGGTTATCACAACAAGAAAAGGATTGAGCAAGTACGTCTTGGATTGCTACGGTGTAGATACAAGAGGTTTGAACTAAAGAACTATCGACCAAGACCTGCTACCTATATACAACTATTGAGACGGAGATTGAAACTGAGTTACAACTACTAGCCAATCATAAAATAGAAAAGGGAATCGTACCATAGAACGTCATAGAATATTAAAGAAGTATCATGTGACCATATCTTATCTTATCGTATTTAATCTAATCTATTCACAATCAAAGAACTTGTCTTCTTCATCAGTCACATCGAAGACACGTGTTGTGGGTGCTAATGGAATCTCTGAACTGGTAGACGTTTTCGGGGTAGGGTTAGGGTTTGACTTAAGCGCTGTGTATTGGCGCTTAGGAAGATTCAAGAAAGAATAGTGGTTTGTTAAAGGTACTCGTGACAGCATGTGAGGCAGGCCGCGCTTTTGATATTCGATGGTGTACACCAATCCAGCAACCTTCCCATAGTAGCCCTTGCGAACCTTCTTCAGCAGCGCTTGCTGCTTCTGGTAGAAAACCCGAGCCACCAAGTCTGGGCAGTCCACAGCGCTCTGACCTATATAAGAAATTGTCAGCACAAAGTCATACACAACACATCAAATAAGAATCATTACCAGGAAGGAGATTCTCTGTGATTTCAGGCCAACTTCCATTGGCGGTCATTGTCAGGAAGAGATCCGGCTTTTCGCAGGCACGGCAAATGGCTAAAGAATCTTGAAGCAGCTGGTGCATATATCGAGGGCTCCCTGTGTGAGAGGAGGGAAGAATAATGGAGCGACCTGTCTGAGCCAGATCATCTATGCCCTCGTTGCAAACATTATCTGCTAAGCCTTGATAGCAGTCCGCCCTCAGCCGCTCTTGGTTGCTTCTGATCCAGTTCAAATTGCTCTGTTCGATGGAGGCCCAAGCGTCGACGATATACTGCTGGAACAATCTTCCACCACGAAAGATGTTGTTGTGATAGATGGGAACAGGGCGTGGATGAAGTCGATAGGCATAGTACAACAGCTGAGTGACATTCTTTGCGACCGTGCGGGTATTTGGGGGGAGAATCAGAGGTATTCCAAGGTGCCAGCCCTCCTCTCCAGATGGAAAGAGAAGGACATAGTGAAGTGGGGAGTACGCATGGCTGAGCTGACTTATATGCTGGAGTCGACCTCCTTGAAGCTGCAAGACGATGTCCTGTTTTTCAGATACCTGCTCAGATCCATCTCCAGGAATGATCACAGCAATTTCATCAGCAGTGGGAACATTATATCTTCGACCATCTGTGCCTTGCTGGAAGTGAATGCATGCACAAACATCCGTGTGCTGCTCTGGAGGCTTCTCTCGCATGACCTGATAGGCCTGCTTGTAAAGAGCAGCATAGGGATTGATTCGATACAGCATGTCATGGAGCTCCCTGAGAATGCCGCGATCAAGACCTTCATTTCCAGGTCGGGTGGCGCGAATGTTGGTGGCTTCCTCAGGATCGTAGATATAAAGTTGCGCATATGAAGGCTGAATGCCTTCTGGAGGTATGAGACTACCCATGAGGTGATGCAGAGATCCATGAATATGAAAAGCATTGGGGCCAGAGCCTTGGAGGGCTCTATCCTCAATATCGACACCGACCGACATGAATGCAAGAGCGCTGTTGTACTGCCGAATCTTGGAGACAAATGTCCTGTCAGTATAAGCGTGCTGCAGTTCTGGCGGCCATGGTGGAAAGGGCGGGAGGACAACTTTACCCTCTGAGCAGCATGTACTGAATTTTGGATTCCGTAGGGAGGATTTTGAGAGTCTTTCGGATGCAAAGTGCAATGCATGGCACTTGGTGCACTCTACATTAAGAGGACCAAGACTATGAATGTTTATAGGCTCCCTGTATGGTCGAGCTCCATCAGGGATAGGAACAATGCGGTTGATAAGTACTTGGTCCTCTGCCTCACGCTCCTCATGCTGCTGAATCTCTTGAGCTCTTCTCCTTTCTTCATCAGCAGCGTGATTTTCTTGAGAAGCAGGATCATTATATTCATGCAGCGCCTCTTCTAGACGCTCTGCTTGCTCGCAAATCCTTTGTTGCCTCTGGTGTTGGATCTCCTCTTCCTCTTGACCTGCTCGCATACGATCCTGAGTTCGTCTATTGTGCTGCTCCTCTTCCTGTCGACCTGCTTGCGCACGATCCTGAGCCAGCCTATTCTGCTGCTCCTCTTCCTGCTGCTGCAAATGAGCCTGTCTCTGGATCCTCTCAGCTTCTTCTTGCTGCAAACGAAGATCCTCCTGCTGCTGCAATTGAGCCTGTCTTTGAAACCTTTCGGCTTCTTGCTGCTGCAGGTGAAGAGCCTCTTGATACTGCAATTGAGCCTGTCTTTGGATCCTCTCAGCTTCTTGCTGCAGGCGAAGAGCCTCCTCATGCCACCATTGAGCCTCTCTATTGATCCTCTCAGCTTCTTGTTGTTGCAATTGTAGCTGAATTTGACGTTGTCGAAATTCCTCCTGTGCTTGCCTTTGAAGCAAGTCATTTCTAATGTGCTCATTGTCCATTTGCTCTGCCTGTAAATGGTGTTGAAACTGAATATTAAATTGATGATAATCAGGTTCAGGTGGCCCATGCAAAGGCGGAGCAGGATTAGGCGCAAAGTAATGAAGAGGATTGTCAAAGTTGTGAGGACCAACTGCGCCCTCATAATGAATAGCACCATATACAGGAGGAGCAGGAGCAGGTTGAGCAGGTTGATTATGGACCTGAGGTACCTGCATGGGCTGCATCCCAGCTGCCATTAGCTCTGCCTGTGCCTGCTCTCTTATCTCCTCTCTGTCCTGTTGCCTACGACGGTTGCGCTGGTGGCGTCTATCATTATGAGCTGCATTCATCTGCTCATTCAGGCGTGCATTATAATCAACAGGAGGGTGCTGATGAGCACGTTGCACATGTGCAATGGCATTACATGGCAAGCCAGGATATTGCCCAACTGGTAGCGGTTCATATGGAAAGTGAGGAGGAGGCTGCCATGCAAAAGGTCGTGGAACAGGCCCTGCTTGAGGTTCATTAGCTGGCATAAAATTTGGCTGTGGTACATGAGGGGCAGGCCTATCATGAGCAGCATGTCAACGATTGCGCCTGGTAGGGGACATCATCTGGAGTCGATTGACTCTATCGTGTTCACGTTGGGAGTGACGCTCGCGCTCCGGGGTAATATGTTCATGATATCTAAATAGCATGTGCAGACATTAGCATCATGCACCTTGCACGTAGCAATATATAGTCAGCAACTCACGGAATGGGCATATTTCCGTCCATGTTCAATATTTAAATGGTTGTTTAGCAAGTGTAAAATTTGAGTAGCCTGAGCCCATCAATAAGTCATTTATATCTTTGTTGATAATAATCAAAACCCACAAAAAGTGTATCACACTTTGTTACACTTGGCTGCGGGGGAGGGCAATTTAATTCAAGAATTCTATACAAAAGCAGCAGCCAATTGTGTAATGATTTGTGTCACCAAATTATGTAACAAATTGTGTAACCAATTGTGTAACCCAAATCTGTTATGCTTTTGCTATTCTCGATGCTCGCTCCCTTATAGTAGGAAAAGTGAGTTGTTTGTCCGTATTATGGGCTCGGCGCAGTAGGCGTGCAGAACACTGTCCACTATATCATGTTTGGCAGCATTTTTGGACACCGTGGAAATTTACCTCTCGAAATTCTGAATTAAGATTTTTTCGTAGTCACCATTAGCAAACTCAAGCGAGAAAACCACATGAGATTTCCAAAGTAAGGATTAAGCGAGGTAAGCGAAACCACATGGTGTTTAGTGAATCTAAGCATATCTAAGTGTATCTACGTGGTGCAAGCGGAAACCACGCGAGCATCCGTCCCTTCCCGCAACTGTTCTCCCTTACTTTATAGACTAGCACACACCTGTTGTGCCTTCGGCACAGGAAGCAAAGAGAGTGCTTCGCGCTCTTTGTTGGCTTCCTGGCCTTTGGCTTCATCCTACTTTGGGTGACTTAATAATTATTGCAGGTTTTGAAATAAATTATATTTTATTCACTGAGTTGTGATCAAAATTTCAAAATAAGTTACATACTTTGAGCAGTATTTTGACAAAAGTAAAAGTACAATTGAATATATGTATTTTCTCATTTACTGTTGTGTCTGGTGTTCTGTGCCCCCTCCTCCCGTCCTGTTGTCCTCCTCCCGTCCTGTTGTCCTCCTCCCGTCCTGTTGTCCTCCTCCCGTCCTGTTGTCCTCCTCCCGTCCTGTTGTCCTCCTCCCGTCCTGTTGTCCTCCTCCCGTCCTGTTGTCCTCCTCCCGTCCTGTTGTCCTCCTCCCGTCCTGTTGTCCTCCTCCCGTCCTGTTGTCCTCCTCCCGTCCTGTTGTCCTCCTCCCGTCCTGTTGTCCTCCTCCCGTCCTGTTGTCCTCCTCCCGTCCTGTTGTCCTCCTCCCGTCCTGTTGTCCTCCTCCCGTCCTGTTGTCCTCCTCCCTCCTGTTCCTCCTCCCGTCCTGTTGTCCTCCTCCCGTCCTGTTGTCCTCCTCCCGTCCTGTTGTCCTCCTCCCGTCCTGTTGTCCTCCTCCCGTCCTGTTGTCCTCCTCCCGTCCTGTTGTCCTCCTCCCGTCCTGTTGTCCTCCTCCCGTCCTGTGTCCTCCTCCCGTCCTGTTGTCCTCCTCCCGTCCTGTTGTCCTCCTCCCGTCCTGTTGTCCTCCTCCCGTCCTGTTGTCCTCCTCCCCTTTCCTGTTGTCCTCCCCCTTCCCCCTTCTCTCATTCTCCCATTCTCCTGTTTTTCCCATTCTTCTATTTTCCTCTTCTGTTCTCTGTTCTCCTATTCTCCTATTTTCCCCATTTTCTCTGTTTTCCCATTTCCCTCATTCTCCTATTCTCCTTTCCCATTTCCCATTTCTCAATTGTCTTTTCTTAATATGTAGTTGAATTTATGTTGAATTTCATAAATAATAAATGCTTTTACATGCGTGCTGCCTGTTAGGACCCTCGAAAGCACGTGATAGCCACGCGAGATTTCCAAAAGTAAGATTAAGCGAGGTAAGTGAAACCATGTGCTTCGCACATGGCGTTTAGCGAAAAACGCATGACCTTTAGCGAAACGCACATGGCCCTACGTGAAAACCACGCGAGCGTCCAGTACTTCCCTCCCCCATCCTCCCTTACTTTATAGACTAGCACACACCCATTGTGCCTTCGGCACAGGAAGCAAAAAAGAGCGCTTCATGCTCTTTTTTGGCTTCCTGGCCTTCGGCTACATCCTACCTTTGGGTGTTTCAATAATAATAATTATAGGTTTTGAAATAAATTATATATATTGTATTTGTTGAGTCAAGGTTAAGTCCAAATTTAATTACACTTGGCATTTCATAAATTAAGACTAACTATAAAACAAATGTGAATGTGAATGTCAAGAAGGCTTCCAGCCAGGGGGAGGACCCTCCTTGAGTACCTGGTCCAAATGACGCCACTCCTCCCAAGTTTTCCCCTTCCTCTCCTCAAAGATGTGTTCATGCCAAGCATCTGCAACCTTGCGCTGCTTTCTATGTTCAATTGCCTCATCCAAGCGTGCACAATTAACATCCCAGTCCATGTCATCGCACTTGCGGACATGCTTGAATTCCTCATCTGCCCTGATCATTCTCTTGGCCATCTTTGGGTTTTCTTGTCGAAGGTCATGAAATCACTGCTGTGCTGCATGGAGACCCTCTCGCCGAGTGGAGATCTTGCTGTATGGGTTAGTGAGCTGTCTCCGTTCAAGACGCCTCGAGTGACTCTCTGAAAAGCGGAGATGGAGTTCAGCTGCCCAGTCAGTCGTACCTGAGGGTACTGATGGAGCAGTGGATGCAGCAACAGGCGGGGTGGGTGTCGCAACAGGTGGAATAACTACATGGCATTGAGCATGCTGCTGCAGTCAGGCAGCATAACTTGTGTCCAGACCCTGCAGAACCCTGGCATTCCAGTCAACAGCAGGGGTCGGCTCGAGAAAGCTGGTGTACCTCGTAGCCACCATAAATGACAAATCAGACAGACAGAAACAACAGAACTCACCTGGCAACATGGCCTGGCACGATGGGGAGTGCAACATTGGAGTCACCACAGGCCACAGCAAAAGATGCTGAAGGTGCTGGGGAAGCACTGGGGATAGCAGCTGCTGTAAATTTTCTAAATCAGATGAAGACAAAGGAAAAGAACTCACCTGGAGGCGGCTGGCTCCGTGTCACGTGACACAGTAAAAAATGCGCCCATGTCGACAGTACTGGCAGGGGCAGGCTGAGTGCTAGTAGGAATTGTCATGTGAGGGCAGCAGGACACAACTGGAGGTATTTGAAAGCGATGGGAAATTTCGGCAGGTGAAGGGCGAGGTTGTGGCAGCGCTGGTGCATTGGCGTTTGCAGCGTTGGGTTGTGGTGTCAAGCGCGGGCAGCACTCAAAAAAGCCATGCGAGTTGCCAAAAAGAGAACTAAGCGAGGTAAGCAAAAACCACATGGCATCCATGTGAGCATGCATGGCACCCACGCGAGCAAATGTGGCCTCCATGCGAGCTTCATGCGAGCACTCGGTGCTTCCCACAACTGTTCTCCCTTACACCGCCAACTGCCGTTTTCAGTCAAACTAAGCTTGTGAGAAAATGATTTAAAACACCTGGCAACCAGCATGATACGAGAACGAATACAGACTTGGCCTATAAATGATAAATTTATAGTGTAAAGCCCACACATCTGGTCCTTATTGAAGATTTTGTCCCGATCCTTGGCAACACCTTCGTTATTGCTATATTTTTGCCCAGACTGGGCCTTAGCCCAGGCCTGGGAATGAACATGTCAGGCATATCGGAAGAAGTCCTGTAGCCCAGGTCGAGCAGCAGACCTGTGGCAGACCTGAGATAGAGCTTATATCAACATCTGAGTGGCCTAGAATAACATTACATTTGCGCACCGCTACTACAACACCAAATTTTAACATTAAATTATTACACTCTTTGAAGCATACTGGCAATGAGATCAAGCTATTAATCAAAATGGTACAACATTTATATGAATCACAGATAGTACAGTTATACTGGTATACACCAGTAGGCAAATTTAAACAGACAAAATATTTGCTAATGCAGAAGGTACATCATAGACTCAGTCTGAAACAACAAGAGAATGAGGAAAGAACAGGGCAGCATGTTTGCAAAACTCGGCCCAGATGTCCACCCTGATAGAGTCTTGTTCCTGTGCGATCACGGTAGGATCACCCGACTGTTCTAGCCACCGCTCGATGAATGGACCTTCCAAAGGGATACAGGAATCCCACTTTGGCCATGAGCCCCTTGGAAACAATGGATAAGCCGCAATGAAGGCAAGCTAGAATGTGTCGCACCCCCACGTCCACAGTTGTGTCTCAGAACCAACGTCAACCAACCAACTTTCGATATTCTTCGATAGCATTGCCCATGTGTTCCAGTCAGAATTGTCGAAGTGTCGAAGTGGCAGGAATGGGATTTGGATGTCATCTGATACATCTTGGTGCGCAGGGGAATTAGTGTCACCCTGACTGCAAAGAGACTGTACTGCGTAAGTTTGGAAAAAAATCGTGAAATATAAGGACTCACAGCGCCATCTGGATGCATTGATTCTCCAGAACTGGAGCATAGATCCATTGATACCGCTTCTACAGCTGGTGAGGTAAAGGACACATATTCTTCTCCAAAAGAAATTGAAATCTGAACAGGCTGTCATGCAAACCAATAGTGAGGAACCAGTTCTGATGTTTGATTGGTTGCAACTACTCACGGCATTCCTTTTGATAACTTGTGTTGGAAGTTTGCCTGAAAAATAGATTGTGAGGAGCACCGACTGTACTGGGCCTTGGTTGATGCCCTGAAATTCGATATCGGGATAAACAATTATATTGGAAAGTAGTCCAGTTGCCATTGATTGGGAGTTGGGAGCTTGAAGTGTTGAATGAGGCAGACAATGTGAGAGAGTATTGGACTTGTTGATTTCGACCATCAAGAATCATGTGACAATGCTTTGCTCCAGCATGACTTGCAACACTGATATCGTTGATGGCGTCGGTGTGTATTTTCCTCATGTATTTGAAGTTTCTATATGTACTGACCTGGTAGTTGCAGTTCTGCAGTTCTGTGATAACAATCAAGGTCAGGTCCTATGCAAGGCATGCCCAAAGAAAAATGGCCATTATCATGTAATGGAGCTGTGTCATGCCAAGAAGCACATTATGCAGGCAATCCACATCCATCATGCTAATTATCTCAAGCAGCGACTAACGAGGCTTCAGCGTCCAGTCCAAGTTGAGCCTGAGGCCTCGCTGGATGATAAGGACACTGACACGACAACCATAGAGCCCACTACTGCCACTGATATCAGATTCTCCTTCGAGGCTGATGACTCCTTCATGGAGGTTACTGTATGTGACTCGGACCCGCCGCTTGTTGACATGCAGCCTGGTGTACCACTTCCTGCAGCACCCGTGCCAGAGGGCGGCGACCTCGACCTCAGGTTATCGGAGCTCGTGAAAGGCATAATAGGCCATCGGACTCTTGAGCTCGACAAAAAGTGTCCAGACTTATTTGCCGAGCTTCAAACAAGCCTCGCTATGGGCGAAATACCATTCTCGACACGACTTTTCTGATCTTCCGCCAATGAGGAGCATCAGCTCATCGACGAAGCCGAACCTGATTTTGGGGTTGAGCTTCCTGGTAAGTGCCTCATCATTCCTTCTATGGGGCTATGTATCTCACAATGCTACCAGATGGAATCCTTGACAAGGTGTCCGCGAACTTCGAGAGTGTCTCAGTAGATAACCCAACTTATCCATGGCCGTCAAAAGCAGTAAGTCTCTCATTTTGTCAGAAAATTAATTCTTACCTTTCATCAAGCATTTTATAACATCGCTTCTTTTCAGCTCTCCACTGCATCCCGTTTTCTGACTCCCAGAAGAGAGCTGTGCTCAACTGGGCCAAAGGGCTCGGCGCCACCAATGTCCCGTCACTCGGTGCGATAAGAAGTGCCATAATTACCTGGATGAGCTTGTCGGCAATCCAACTCAGAAGATGACATCGCGTGCTGGTGATGTATTCTATATCAATAACGTCGCGGAAGCAATCGCAAAGGTACGTCTAGCATGTCTTTCGTGTCCATTCAACAGTGACATTACATTCAGGATTATGCGAATCCACTTACACGTTTTGTGATGTGCGATTATCCCGAGGACGGTGGCGAGGGGATGTCGCAGGTCTTTAATGGCCAGAAGATGTTATTCGATCTTCTGTCACCACCGGCAGCTCGAGTGGACGGAACCGTGTACTTCACACATGAACTGTTACAAGATACTTCTGGAGATTACTTCATCCCAGAACATTTTTTCTATGCCTCTCCACCTGTAGACTCAGATGATGACAATGGCGAATCCCACGAGAATTCAGTCACAAAGCCCTTATATGCGCTTGGTCGGGCGGTCAAACGAACAGAGGTACGTCGTCATTGTGCACCTACTATGATGTATATGTTCTAACTGCACTACTAGGCTGGATTTATTGTTAACGAGGAACAGGAGATCATACCCGCATCTGCCTTCATGCGGTCCTTTGAAGACATTGCTGTGACTCAGGGTGAACTTGATTGTGGCCTTACTGGTACGTTTTACATTTACTTGTCTCGGTAACTGCAAGATTAACATGAGATAAACAGCCTCGTCAACTAAATATGCAATGCTTTCACCAAATCCACTGCGTGCAAAGGCAAACGGTCGCATGGTATATACGGTCCCCCTCATCATC